GTGTCATGGAAATTAAATGGTCACAGAAGCACAAAGAGACTATACAGCCAGTTATCTTCCAGAAGGAGGAAATAAAGATATAAGTGGGAGGGAAGGAGAGGGGGAAAGAATGAGAGGGAAGGAGGAGAAATCTGCCAGAGCAGATGGATGCTAGTCAGGCCTGTGCCCCTGCCACATGGTGGCTTTTTATTACTTAACCTCATTTTTACCCACATTTTAAATGAGGTTAAGTAATAAAAGTCACTCAGCACCCCAAATTCAACATGGCTTGATGTAAATTTCTTTTTTAGATGTTCAAGCTACACATCTGGGTCAGAAAACAAGTGTGTTCTCATTGCCTCTGTGTCCTCAAGTATCTCCAATGAATTTTTTTAGGAGAAAATTAGATTTTAAATCAGGCTCTGAAAGTTTATTTACAGTGTACCTAATTTTATAAAAGTCACTCAGTACCCCAACTTGAACAAATCAATACAAAAGTCATTATTATTTGCTCAATAGCCAAACTGCTCATCCTACCTGACACATAAGAGCACCAAGATAAATATTTTCTCTTTTTCATCTGAACCTCAACTATTGGCAATTCCTAAGACTTTACTCTTTCTTCTACACTTTACTGTGTGGTTATCTATAAAGTTATGGACTCGACATAAAGAATATCATCTCCATTTCTGTCTTCATCAAGGGGAGTTTTGTATAAAATATCTATGGAGGCATTATACAGACATTTGGTTCCAAAGAAAGCGATTTTAAAACAACCAATCGCTGGGGCACCTGGGTGGCTCAGGTGGTTGAGTGTCCAACTTCGGCTCAGGTCATGATCTCGCAGTTTGTGGGTTCAAGCCCTTCATCAGCCTCTGTGCTGACAACTCAGAGCTTGGAGCCTGCTTCAGATTCTGTCTCTCTCTCTCTCTCTCTCTGCCCTCCCCCGCTCTTCCTCTGTCTCTGTCTCTGTCTCTCTCTCAAAAATAAATAAACATTAAAAAAAATTAAAACAACCAATTGCTCAAGTTTGGAAGGCCACTGACTCTACCTCTTACTGATGAAGTGATCTTGGGAAACTTACCTATATCCTCCAAGTGTCATTTCTTCTGCAATAAAAATATAATAATGTTTACTTGACAGGATTGTTGAGGAGATTAAGTGGAGGGGGTAGGAACTCTATAAATGCCAATCAGTGTCTGACAAATATTAGGTACTACCAACTTTTTTCTTCTTTAATATACATCTTGTAGATAAATGTGTTGCTTATCAAATTTGAGTAATATTATTCTTAAAAAGAAAGAAAACTCAAGGGCTTCTAGTTTTGTCTGAAATTATTGTAATCAGGAGAAAAGCAAACAAATTTATTCAGCATAAGTTCTACATGACATAGGAACCCTCATAAGAAAATGAAGATCCAAACAAGTGGCAAAATCCAAGTGTTTATATAGTAGGTTGAAGGAAAAGATGCAATTGTGTAAAAGTAGCTAAAATATGGGGAGATTAAAGGAAGATAAAATTTATTTTAGCAAGATCTTTTTGTACAGAAATATCTCAACCTTAACTCCCTCTCTGGTGATAAGAATGTGTCTGTCTTTCCTCCTGGTTTAGGGAATACAATTTTCACATAAGATTTTTTTTTGGTTTTTGTTTTCTTTTGTTTTAACTTGTTTTATTTTTTACTTTTTTAAATTTACATCCAAATTAGTTAGCATATAGTGCAACAATGATTTCAGGAGTAGATTCCTTAGTGCCTCTTACCCATTTAGCCCATCCCCCCACCCACAACCCCTCCCGTAAC